GCTCTGTTTCCAGTGTAATAGCTCCAGTGTGATAGTTGGCTAGTTCTGATGGATACACATCTGTGCTTTTGTTGATTGCCAGAAATAGCAACAATTGTTAATGTTTGCCCGGCCGGCGCTGCTGTGTGTCTGGTCTGTGTAAGAATGCAGACAGAAGGTTAAGTCAGACATAGTCTAAGTTTATGGTCCGGAGGGAAAGACTGAGAAGTACCAGACCCGGGCACCAAAGAGGCCTGATGCAGTCTTTCCAGCTTCTCAGTTGGGTGATTCAGCAGTTCCACCTGTTTCTACCAGGGAGCTGAGCCCTTGGGTGCCGCTGCGTCAGATAGCTAGGTATGCAGCGCCCTCTGCTGGGTGCCGCATAGAACGAGGTTGAATATTCAAACCCAACAGAGTGCCTCACCCAGCTGGACCAACCTGTATAGAGCGTTGGAGGGACAGTACTTCTCCGGATTCTTTACTCTCTGTATTCTAGGGATGCTACTACCACGCAGGGCAACAGCCTCCCCAAGGCTGGGGTGGAAGCTAGTACGAGGTCCGTAGCGCCTCAGTGCATTACATGCCTGTTTAATCTATCTGCTTTCTGAAAGTGTGACCCCACGCACCCAGATGTGATACCAGTTGGAAACAGCAAATGTACAAGTAAAGGCTTTTCAGTGGTGGCATTCTTCACTTTTAAACTACATTTTGGACCAGGTGTGGTAGTGCACACCTTTAATCCCAGCACTGAGGAAGCAGAGGCGGGATCTGTGTGAGTTTGTAAGTTTGAGTCCAGCCTGGTCTACCTAGCAAGTTCCAGGCCAGCCCAGGGCTATACAGAGAGATCCTATCTCAAAAGGAAAAACCAAAACAAAACATTGTCTTCCAGCAACCACAGTACAATGATCACGTTTAGGAAGTTTCATACTGAGAGAATTCTATTATAGGTATATATTTTTTCTCCAGTTCCCTAATTATGTAATTTATGGATGTTTCCTCCCTCCCTCCCTCCCTGAGATCAGATTTAGTTGCCTGTTTGGTGTTCTTCTGGAACTGAGATAGAAGGGATACTCATTCTCTTTCTTTCTTCTTTTTTTTTTTTTTAGTCCTGCAATATAGCCAAGGCTGACCTGGAACTCACTGTGTAGCTCAGGATGGCTCTGAACTCCTGACTTCAATCCTCCTGCCTCATGAGTGCTGGGGTTCCTTGTATGGGTGACACTGTGCCCTGTTTTGAGGGAGGGAACAAATGAGAACAGCGCATGACACATACGTATGACAATCCCCTGATGACACCTGTTCCTTTGTATTCTGACTTAATTTTATTTAAAAACATACTTTTTATCTTTTTTAAATCCCAGCTAGTCACTTTCTTCTTTTTAAATTTTTATTAACTTTTTTTTATTACATTTAATTGTGTGTTGGGTGTGGGTGGGTAGGGGCACATGCCACAGCAGTCGTTTGGATGTCGGAGGACGACAGGAGTTGGTTCTCTCTTTCTACCGTGTGGGTCCCAGGGACTGAACTCAGGTTGCCAGGCGGAGGCACAGGGGCCTCCACCTGCTGAGAGGGTTCACCAGTCCCAACTTTTTCTTTTTCTTTTTAAAATGTATTACTATTCTGTATGGATGAGTGTGTGCATGATTTGTGTATGGCCACACATGTCTCCTAGCATACATCTGGGAGTGAGAGGGTAATTTTGTGGGGTTGGTTCTTTTTTGCTTTGTTTTGTTTCATTTTGTTTGTTTGTTTTTTTTCTAAAAAAAACTTTTATTTATTTGTTATGTATACAGTATGCCTGCTTTTGTCCCTGCAGGCCAGAAGAGGGCACCAGATCTCATTACAAGTGGTTGTGAGCCACCATGTGGTTGCTGGGAATTGAACTCAGGTCCTCTGGAAGAGCAGTCGGTGCTCTTAACCACTGAGCCATCTCTCCAACCCTCATTTTGTTTTTTGAGACCGGGTTTCTCTGTGTAGCCTTGACTGTCCTGAAACTCGAGGTGTAGGTCAGGCTGGCCTGGAACTCAGATCCACCTGCCTCTTGTCTCCCAAGTTCGAGGCCAGCCTGATCTACAAAGCAAGTTCCAGGACAGCCTGGGCTGTTGTACAGAGGAACCCTATCTCAGGCATACACTACCACTGCCTGGCTGTGGAGCTAGTTTTTTACATGGACTCTAGAGATCTAACTTAGTCACAAGGCTTTCATGGCAAGTGCCTTTACCGCTACAGAGCCATCTCACTGGCCCCAGAAAAGCCACTTAAAAAAAAAAAAAGATTTATTTACTTATTTTTTATGTATATGAGACTCTGGCTGCACTTTATGTTAGAAGAGGGCATCAGATCTCATTACAGATGGTTGTGAGCCACCATGTGGTTGTTGGGAATTGAACTCAGGACCTCTGGAAGAGCAGCCAGAGCTCTTAACCTCTGAGCCATCTCTCCAGTGTGAGAAAAGCCCCTTTAAATAATATTTAGGGGGTAGCAAAATGGCTCAGGGCATAAGGGTGCCTGCAGCTAAGCCTGACAACCTGAGTTCAATCCCCAGGACCAGATGGTGGAGGGCGGGCGAGAACTGACTCCCACAAGTTGCCGTCATGTCTACTGGGCAAGCTCTTTAGAAACTGAGCTATTTCCCTAGCACTCCATTGAAAAGTTTAAATCCCCTGGTAGTAACACCGCCACCGAGGTGATAAGTCAGCTCAGGCCGAATTAGTAAATCCAGATTTAATCTGAGCAGAACATTCCTGGGTGGCCCCAGAGGAAGAGGAGGAGCCATGAAGGGGAACCATGAGGGGAAGTCTCGGCACCTGAAATACCCTCTGGGGGTGGAGCTGCTGTGTGGTGGGCTTTCTCAGGGATGGGGTTTGGAGACAGCAGCTCCAGGAGAGATCCCCAACATCCATTACCCTTCTTAAGCAAAGCCCCAGAAGGACAGAATTCTCTTTGGTACTGGACAGCCTGAAGGCTGGTCATTCCTCCAAAACTTCGGGCTCTTTCGTTTGCCTGTATGTACTGTTCTTTCTTGTGGCTGTTTTTTCTTTTCTTTTCTGTTTTTGAGATTGGATTTTATGTAGCCAGGCTGCACCTCTCTAAGCAATACTTCCAGCCCACCACCCCCTTTTTCCTTTTTATGTAGTTTAGGCTGACCTTGAACTCCTGATCCTCCTGCCTCCATCTCCCAACTCTGGGATTATAGGCATGGGGCCACCATACTTAGATGATTTTGTTTTTGAGACAGGGTCTCACTGCGTAGCCCAGGCTAGCTTTGATCCTTCTGGTTCAGCCTTCCCAGTGCTGAGATTGCAGGAGTGTGCAACCACATCCAACTGAGATAATTTTTAAAAAGTTATTTTCTTTCTTTCCCTTATTTTATTTTGTATTTTATGAGTGTTTTTGCCTGCCTGTATGTCTGTGCGTCGTGTACTTTCTTGGTGCCCACAAAGGCCAGAAGAGCATAGAAGATCCCCTGTGAGCCACTGTGTCCGTGGTGCTGGGACTCAAACCTGGGTCCTCTGGAGAACCACAGCCAGTGTTCTTAACCACTGAGCTGTCTTTGCAGACCCCTTTCCTTGTTCTCTCTCTCTTTTTTTTTCTTTTTAATTTTGAAAGCAGTCGATGATTAAAATAGAGAAAAAAAAAAAACAATTCATCATCAAAGTCCAAGTTGTGACTTTGAGTCCACAGGGAACCCCAAAGGATGGGTTGATGGCAGGGAGTGGGGGGGGTGGCTACCCCCCATGTGCCAGGCTATGATAGGCCCCATTAGCTCTGCTTTCACAACGGGGGTGAGGGGTGGGGGGGAGGGCTGGGGGCTGGGAAGGCCTTGAACTAGGTGTTCCTCACACCGGGATGCTCTGGAATCTTGGCTGTAGAAGGAAGCCCCCTTCTTTCTTTCCCAGTCAGCTCCCAGAAACTCACAACACATGACTCAAGCTGGGCTGAGAACACAAAAGCCTCGTCTCTCCGGGAGTGCATGCAAAACATCAGGGCATTGTCCTACTGCTTTGCTGGGGCCTGTGGTGTCTGGGATGAGAACACTGATGATTCCCCAGAGTGGAAAGACATTGTTTGAAAGGAATTACCTAAGGTCATGCTGTTCCTTCGGGACGCTTTTGTTAGAAGCAGCCTCCCTCATTCGATGACTCTGGCCTGGAGAGTCACCCCCACCCAAGCCCCTCTCCAAAGCAAGGAATCATTGTTACTGTGGGACAGTGTTTAGACAGGTCAGCTTATTTGGGAAGTCTGTCCCCTTCTCCCTTTTTTCTGTCCCTTTCACTGCCATAGTTTTGGTTAAAGTTGCCTTGAAAGCCAAATTTTGCCTATTATGGCAGCTTATCAGCACACATTTTTAGTTTCTCATAAGCTTTCTTTTTAGGGCTGGAGGTATAACTCAGTGGTAGGGCATTTACCTAGCATGTCTGGGGACCTGGGTTCAATTCTACCACAAAAATAAGAAAACCTTAAGCTTCCGTTATACTTACAGAAAAAGTATCTCCTAAGGGTTATATGTTTGGCAATGGCCCACAGCTCCTAGTTTCTAGTCCAGAGTTATATTGTGACGTGAGGACTCTGCAATCCCAGTCATGATAGATTTTTTGCAAAATCATGACAATACGGTTGAAGGACACTGGACTTGGATTAAAAACATCCTGAATCTGGGGTCTGGTGAGGTGCCTCAGCCGGCGAAGGTACTTGCTGCTAAGTCCGCGGACGTGAGTTCAGTCCCTGGAACCCACACGGTAGGAAGAGAAAAGCAGCACCCACTAGTTCTCCTCTGACCTCAACACGAATGCCATGGCTCACGTGCATCGTGTGTGCACACATGCTCGCACACTCACATAAATAAAATGAAATAATTTTTTTTAAATTCTGAATTTTTGGTCCCTACTTTGCCACAGGAGAAAGTGGTTTGGTTTGATTTGGTTTGATTTCATATATATATGTATATATAGGTTTATATGTGTGTGTGTATGTATGTATATATATATATATATATATATGTATGTATGTATGTATGTATGTATGTTTTTCGAGACAGGGTTTCTCTGTGTAGCTTTGGAGCCTGTCTTGGAACTCACTCTGTAGACCAGGCTGGCCTCGAACTCACAGAGATCCACCTGCCTCTGCCTCCCGAGTGCTGAGATTAAAGGCTTGTGGCACCACCCAGCTTATTTATATTTTTTTAAGATTTACTTATTTATTATGCATACAGTGCTCTGTCTGCATATACACCTGCAGGCCAGAAGAGGGCACCAGATCTCATTATTGATGGTTGTGAGCCACCATGTGGGTGCTGGGAATTGAACTCAGGACCTCTGAAAGAGCAGTCAGTGCTCTTAACCTCCGAGCCATCTCTCCAGCCCCTGATTTGGTTTTAAAGACCGGTCTTTCTGTATTTCTCAGGCTGGCCCCAAACTCCTGTCATCAAAGGATTCTCCTCCCTTGGCTCCTCAAGTGGCTGGTACTTCAGGGACATGCTACCATGTTCAACTTTGAGACATTTGTGTTACTTAATTTATTTGTGTATTTATTTCTAAGTTAGCCTCTCACTCTATAGCCCTGGCTGGCCCTGAATACAGCATGTAGTTCAAAGTCAACCTTGATCCTTCAGCCTCCCAAGTACCACCCCTGACCAGGGAAAGCACTCTTAATTCTTCTGAACCTAACTTTCGTTTTGTTTTGGTTTTTGGTTTTTCAAGACAGGGTTTCTCTGTGTAGCACTGGCCATCCTGGAACTCACTCTGTAGACCAAGCTGGCCTTGAACTCAGAGATCCATCTACCTCTCCCTCCTGAGTGCTAAGACTAAATCCACCACCGCCCGGCTGAACTTGACTTTCAGTCAGTAAAATGGAAATAATAATGTCTGCCATGCAGAACTGTGAGGTTGCCGTGATACTGTGTGGATGGTTCCAGGCCTGACCCAGTCATAACGGAGCTGGTCAACAATATTTGCCATCCTATTGATGAAGACTCCAAAGTAAGGGTTGCTTCTGTCCCCAAGAAGTATCACTCTTGGCTGCTTTTGTTTAGATGTTGACTTTTTTTTTTTTTTTTTTTTTTTGGTTTTTCGAGACAGGGTTTCTCTGTGTAGCTTTGCGCCTTTTCCTGGAACTCACTTGGTAGCCCAGGGTGGCCTTGAACTCACAGAGATCCGCCTGGCTCTGCCTCCCAAGTGCTGGGATTAAAGGCGTGCGCCACCACCGCCCGGCTAGATGTTGACTTTTTACATTTTAGATTCCAACTTTTATTTGGTCTGGATTTTGGGGTGACAGGTTGTTTATTTTTAGAATCTCCTGGGTTTCAGGCTAGCCTTGAATTCCCAATGTAATTGAAGACGCCCTTCAACTTCTGGTCTTCCTTCTTCGACCTCCCAAATGCTGAGATGATAGGCTTGGACCACCACACCTGGTCTGTGCAGTACTTAGGATCAAACCCTGGGTTCATGCATGCTCCGTAAACTCTACCAACTAAACTCTAATCCCAGCTCCCCCTTCTGGTTCAAAACAAACTTTATTGACAGTCTTGGGAGGATCAGAATGCGATCAAAATATCACACAACACTTAGTGTTCTATTGCTGTGAAGAGACACCAGGACCATGGCGACTCTTGTAGAAGAAAGCATTTAATTGGACTGGCTTATAGTTTCAGAGGTTTAGTCCATTATCATCATGGCAGGAAGCATGGCGGCATGCAGACAGCCATGGTGTGGAAAAGCATCTGAGAGTTCTACATCTGGATTTGCATGCAGCAGGAAGAGAGAGCCACTGGGCCTGGGTTGGACTTTTGTAAACCTCAAAGCCCACCCCTAGTGACACACTTCCTCCAACAAGGACACACCTCCGAATCTTCTCAAATAGTGCCACTCCCTGGTGACCAAAAGTTCAAATCTATGAGCCATTCTCATTCAAACCACTGCATATAGGCTCTGGGGGTTGAACTTGGGTCCTCATTCCAGCATGTGATCAGCCCTTTTTACTGTGAGAAAAAAAATGAGAGACGTAAGACAGATAAGGTGTGTGTTTTCTTACATTACACCAGTTTAAGCTGTCAGGTTGTACTGGAACAAGGAAATTTTAGCACCTGAAGTCCACAGGGCCTCCCAGCTACCTGATTAGCGTTTCTCACGATGCCATTTGCTCTTTGTGTTTGAAGAAATCACTTCTAATCCAGCGTAGTGGTGTATGACTATAATCCTAGCATTGGTAGTTGAGGCAGGAGGATCAGTAGCTCAAGGTCATCCTCAGCTACAAGTTCAAGGCCACCCTGGGTTGCATGAGATCCTGTCCGGGAAGATCTAAAAGTCCACTAAACCAACAGTAAATTCAGTCTAATATTCCATTTTCCCTCTAGGAATAACAGTCAAATGAAGAAGCGGCCAACTTCTGCCGTGGGCTACAAGAGACCTATCAGCCAGTATGCTCGGGTTGCCATGGCAATGGGGTCCCATCCCAGATACAGGGTAAGGAGCTGGGAAGTAGAAGCCGGAGAAGGGAGAGAAACCCAAGGAGAAGGGATGCTTACAGCATGTGCTTCCTCTAAGTATCCCATCATCCTTGTGATACCCAAGATCCAGTGTGCCCGGAAGACAGGCTGCTGCTCACGTCTGATGTATCTATCCTTTTACCGCAGGCTGAAAATATAATGTTTTTGGAGTTGGATGTTTCCCCACCGGCCATCTTTGAGATGGAATTTTCTCATGACCAAGAACAAGATCCACGGGTTCTACACATGGAGAGGCTCATGAGGTTGGACAGCTTTCTGGAAAGACCTTCCACGTCGAAAGTGCGAAAGTCAAGGTCTTGGTTAGTACCACCGTGGTGAAAGTGAGCCCTGGACTTTAGGATGCAGTGGGAGTGCCTGGGTTGGTCAAGGCTGGAGAGGGTTTGAGTGGCCACCGAAAGAGAATGTGGGGAGGGGAAGGAAAACGTCACCCTTTGATCCACAGTGGTGACCTGTCTGCATGATACGCTGGTGCAATGGTGTGGCACAACAACCTGGCAGTGTGGCAGTGGGGGCGCACGCCTTTAATGCCAGCACTTGGGAGGCAGAGGCAGGAGGATCTCTGTGAGTTCAGGGTCAGCCTGGTCTACAGAGCTAGTACCTGGACAGCCAAGGCTACACAGAGAAACCCTGTCTCAAAAAAAAAAAAAAAGAAAAAGAGAGAGAGAGAGAGAGAGAGAGAGAGAGAGAGAGAGAGAGAGAGAGAGAGAGAGAGAGGAAAAACCTCGAATTTCTGTCCTCTGGTTTCTCATCTCTCCTTTGATTTGTCTCCAGGTGCCAGAGTCCTCAGCGGCCCCCACCCGCCACCGCTCATGCCTCCACGGCCTCCGCTCCTCTGCACCCCGCAGCAGTGGTAGACCATGATTGACAGCCTTCAGTCAGGCTGCCCATCACACAGACTCCTAGGGCAGGGCAGCCAACCCTGATTCATCGCATCTGATGCTTGGTGCGTGTGCGTGGTATGTATGCATGTGTGCGTGCGTGTGTGTGTATGTGTGTATACTAGTGTGTGTGAAGGGGTGAGAAACTGGCAGATGGTGCCTCTGCTGGTTTTCCGTGTCTCCTTTATTTAATTCATGTTATTTATTCATGGAGCTTGGGTAGTGAGGAGAGATCCCCTCGCCTGAGCTGCCTGGGCCTGCCATGGTCGCTGTTGCATAGCCTCCTTCTTCTGACTGGGTAGCCACCTCAGTCAGGCCCCAAAGCTCCTCTTCATGTCAGCTGCCTCCAGAAGGGAAGATGGCTAGTGCCTGAGAAGACAGTACTTCCTTTACCCGTCCATTGCATAGTCTCCATCTTCTTGTCTGACGGTGAGCAGCCCGTGACGCTTTCTGGGGCTGGGAACCTGCTGGTGTCCGTTGAGGGCAAGCGATAGCCTAATGGCATTGGGCGGGCACTCCTGGTGGACTGAATCTCGCTCGCCTCTTTCTGGGTCCCAGACTCTTCCAGGGTTCTTTCTCAAGGACTTTCGGTAGCCTCACCGAGACTCATCCCCGGGCTCTCCAGCCTTGGCAAGAACTCCTGGCTTCCCCAGCTCCACTCCATTACCCGCCCTCTCCACCCTTGTCCTGGGAATTGTGAACCAAACGGTTGTGGCCCCCATGAGAGCTGCAGGAAACAGAGCGGTGTGGAAACAGCATGGACTGTCAACAAGGGAAGGCCCCCTCAGGTCCCTTTGTTTCCGTCTCCTCCAAGAAGTTCCTTTGGTGAACAAACCGCCTGTCCTCATGCGAGATGTGGCTTCCTCCTGCCTTGGTCACTGTTCCCTGAAGCTGTCCGATCTCAGTCCACAGTGGAAAGAATCAGTGTCATTCTGTCCCTTACTAAATACAGATAGCAAAATCCTTCGCTTTTCCCCTCCGGCTAGTACAAGAAACACACCCAGGCAGGCACAATCTTTACCAGATTTACCTATTACCCCTATTTCTTAGTCACATCTTGCGGTGGGGGGGGGGGGGGACACTGTTTTGTTGAAACTTGATCCATTCTTTACTACTTGTGTGGACCGGCCCTTCCTAACCTTCCTCTGTGACAGCCCAAAATGTCTCCAGGTATTGCAAGTGATAAGTAAATTTCTATTTTAAAAAGTTAATTTTCATTGACCTTTATTTTTTACATGCAAGATAAAACGTATTTTTTTAAGATTTATTTGTATTATTTTGAAACGATGTGTGTCTGTATACATGGATGCAGAGGCCAGAGGCATGGACCCCCTTGGAGCTGGAGTTACAGGTGGTTGTGAGTGCTGGGAATTGAACTCAGGTCTTCAGGAAGAGCAGTATGTGCTCTTAATTGCTGAGCTATCTCTAACTCCTCTCTCTCTCTCTCTCTCTCTCTCTCTCTCTCTCTCTCTCTCTCTCTCAGTAGGGCCTTTCTGTGTAGCCCTCACCTCCACTTGCTATGTGGCCTGCCCTTGTCACAAATTTCAGGCACTCCTGCCATGGCTTCCCAGGTGCTGGAATTGTAGATGTGAGCTGTGATACCCAGTTTTTATTTTTAAAATGTTTTTATATATATGCAATCCCACAAAGTTGCTTATAGTCGCTCAGGTTGAGGCAGGAGAATTGCCAGTGAGGATAGCCCATTCTATATAAGGAAACTTTATTTCAAAAAATAATAATAATAAATCAAAGCTGGAGGGATGGTTTCATGATTGACAGCACTTACTGCTCTTCCAGAGGGACCCGAGTTGAGTTCCCAACATCCGCATTAGGCAGCTCCAGGGGATCTGGCGCCCTCTTCTGGCCTCTGCAGTGACCTGCACACACATGCACATACCCACCTACCATCACTGACCTACAAATAACTAAAGATTAAATACGTTTCTTACATTCAGGTTTAAACTGAGTATGGTGGTGCATGCATACCTTTAATCCCAGCACCTGGAGATGGAGGTAGGCAGATCAGAAGTTTAAGATCTTCCTTGGCTCCATAGCAAAAAAAAAAAAAAAAAAAAAAAAAGAGAGAAAATAAATAATTTAAATATTTAAATTTAAGTTAAAATCATCCAGTTCTATTTATCCTACAACAAACTTACATTCCTTCCCTTACATTGCTTTCCTGATGTGTCTCTAGGGAACATCCACGATTCTCTGTTTCTGTTGTTTTGTTTTGCTTTGTTTCATTTTGAGACAGGGTCTCCCTATGTAGCCCTAGCTGGCCTGGAACTCACTGTGTCGACCAGGCTGGTCTGAAACTTGCAGCCATTTTCCTGCCTCTGCCTCCAGAGTGCTGGGATTACAGGCGTGTACCACTAAGCCTAGCCCTGTATCTAATCTTTTTCAAGCCTTGGAGCTACCCAAAAGATGTTGATGAGCACACCACTTCTTGGATTAGGAATTGTCATTTCTGCCGTCAACACTGAACAGTTTACTACTTAATTATTATTTATTGGTTGAAAAATTAACGAAATTCTCTTAATAGTAAGGATCGTACTGCCAACTATGTTAATTTATTTTTAAGATGTATATCTTGGTGGGTGGTAAGGGGTAATTTCAGTGGTGCGAGCGAACAGGGAAGTTAGGATTTCAGATGCCCTAATGTTGGGAGTCTCGTTCCCTGGCTTATGCGCAGGTCTGTAATTGATGTAATGCACGAAGCTGATAGATCTGCCGCAAGTTTTGTGTGTGGCAAAGGGCAGCGGGCCATTCTCTCCTCTCTGGGAATTAAGCTCTTCTGAAACCAATCACGTTCTCCTCTGAGGATCACTTGCTTTTTTTGGTTTTTTTTTGAGACAGGATTTCTCTGTGTAGTTTTTGGTGCCTGTCCTGGATCTCGCTCTGTAGACCAGGCTGGCCTCGAACTCACAGAGATCCGCCTGCCTCTGCCTCCCGAGTGCTGGGATTAAAGGGCGTGCGCCACCACTGCCCGGCTGAGGATCACTTGCTTTAATTCCACTGTTGTGTTTTTCTACTGTTCTGCTGGACTAGACCCTTGGGCCTTTCGGCTGTCTGTCCTTCAAGGAAATCTCAGTTTTCCAGCAGAGCCCTGTGATTATTTGACACTCAGGATTCGGATCAGAGGTTTAGCTGTATCTGGGGCAGGAGTTGTGTGTAGGAATCTCCCTATGTGACCTGGGCAGCGCGGGACACCTCCCCTCCCCCCAACCGCGTTGTCATTTGTAGTTGAAGCTGCATGTACCACCCCACTCATCACCTGGACACACTGACTCCACATTGTCTGAGTCCCTTGTCCCTCACAGTCTTATAGCACAATAAACCCCACTTCAGCACCCCAGACTGAGGGCTAGGCCCAAGGTGTGGTCAGAGGAGGCACCCCTGCCTGTGGTATTGTATATGTGCGTTTGTGTGTGTGTGTATGTGTGTGTGTTTGTGCGTGTTTACCTGTGCAGGGGGCGCTACACTCAATGTAAGATACCCTAGGGACAGAGCCACCAGAGGTGGCTGGATCTCAGTCTGTCTCTCCCCCACCTTTTTTTTTTTTAATGTATCAGACATTTGATTGACAAAGTAAGGGCCTTAATAAGGACCAAATTTCCTTGTCTGTTGCTATGGTCTTTAATTAAAGGTACCAAGTGGCCCGTTCTTGTCACTCTATACATATGACTGTCTGGGACATATGTACTATATAAATATATAAATATATATATATATATATATATATATAAAAAGAATGAGCCTCTGTCCCCTTGGTTTAGGACGGAGCCTTTCTGTTCAGTTGGAATGCACCCTAGCGAGGTGCTGCCGGCAGCCTGCAGGCCCCAGCCCTGTTGAGATGAACACGGTTGACAATAAAGGAATGAGTGTCACTGCGGAGTCGTCGACTGCCTGCTTCTCTTCCTTTGGCCTCCTCCGTCTTGTGCTCGCTTTTGGTTTTTCTTTTCTCTCTCGCTTCTTCAGCAAGGGCTTAAAAGTGTCTGGAGACCACGCGCATGGATCAGAACGCTGGAGAAGAAATCATGGCTCGATGAAAAGTTATCTGTTGCGGCTGGGGGATGAGGTCGGCTGTTAGAGTGCTTGTGTGGTGTGTCCAAGGCTTTCGGTTGTGGTGATCTATTGTGTACCCTATTAAAGCTTGCCTTGAGGAGCAGAGAGACAGAGCAAGCAAGCCACAGCCACCACCTCTTACCTCACCAACTCCTCGCATCCTCTGACTGAAATCCTCTGAGTCCTCACCGGAAGGGGTCTCAGCTGAACTGCCTTAGTTCCTGTTTCCTCACGCCTTGTATACCTTTCTCTGCCCTGCCGTCACATCTTGGGATTAAAGGTGTGTGTGCTCCCCAGTACTGGGATTAAAGGTGTGTGCCACCACTGCCCGGCCTCTGTGTCTAATCTAGTGGCTGGCTCTGTCCTCTGATCCTCGAGCAAGTTTATTAGGGTACACAATTTATCAATCACCACACTCGGTTCCATCCCTGGCATGGAAGGAAAGAAAAAGATAATTGATAGGCTGGGGCTGGTAGGATTGCCCAGTGGGTGAAAGTGCCTACTGCCAAAGCTGACAGCCTGATTGTATCCCCAAGGATCCACACGTAGAGAATCGATGCCTGCAAGCTACCCTCTGACCTCCACGTCGATGCTACGGCAAGGAAGCTCACACCCACACATGCACACTATAAAATAAGGTCCAAATAGAGAGAGCTTTTGAATTGAGAGAGGATATTGGGAGATGGCCCAGTAAGGAAAGTCATGAGCAGGTGAGTTTGGATCCCTAGCATCCATATAAAAGGCTAGATATATCAGAGTAAGCCTGTGATTCCAACACTGCGGGAGTGGAGACAAGGAGTCCCTGAGGCTTACTAGTTAGCCTAATGGAATGTGTGAGCTCCAGGCTTAGAGAGGAACTCGTCTGTTTTTTTGTTTGTTTGTTTTTTATTTTTTTAGATTTATTATGTATACAGTGTTCTGTCTGCACGCCAGAAGAGGGTGCCAGATCTCATTACAGATGGCTGTGAGCCACCATGTGGTTGCCGGGAATTGAACTCAGGACCTCAGGAAGAGCAGCCAGTGCTCTTAAACGCTGAGCCATCTCTCTAGCCCCTCGTCTGTCTTTTAAATTGCACATTTATGTGTCATCTACCTCTTTGTTGTTTGTTTTTATTTATTTTTGCTGAGTGTCGAGGCATGCATTTGGAGATCAGAGGACAGCTTGCATGAGTTACTTCTTTCTACCGTGCGAGCCTCAGGGATTGAACTCGGGTCGTCAGTCTTGTTGGCAAGCACCTTTACTCAGTGAGCCATGTCACCAGCCTGAGATTAATTCTCAAAAAGAACAAAAGAAAAAAGAAAACAGAGGGTGATTTAGGAAGACACTTTTGGCTTGTACATGCATGCACATATTGCCGCCATCACACACACAAGATGAAGGGGGGGGAATATGAATATGTGAATTTATCTGCACAATAGGTGGAAATGCTCCCATGGTATGTCTGTGCCCGGGCTGTTCACGCTCTAGGATAGCAGCCTCCAACCAGTTAATTCTGAGTTATTGGCTCACCGCAGAATTGGTAGGGGAGACTCAGATTAGCTGTCGGGGATTAGACAGAAATACATTGATAGAAAGTACATACATGGATGGGTCTGACATGTTGGGAGGGCTGATTCCAGTACAAAACTAGTTTCTGAGCTCACTGGGAGAACACACAAGCACCATGCCTGAGGCCCTGGGTTCCACTGACAGCCCACAAAACAAACATAAAGACCTAAGTCCCTCTGGAGTCTATCTTGGAGGGAATGAAAAATAGTGACCCAAAACCTCACGGCCCTGGCTCACAAGGCAGAAACACTAGTGACCAATGTGGGCGCTGAGGTTTTTTCACAGGAATTTCTTACCCCGATGATTCCAGCCCTCAAGCTCCCAGGCTTCAAGTCGAGTGTCACCCTGGTGCTGGAGACATCTGCCAGGGGTTGCATTGGACACTTTGAATGAAAATTAAAAAAAAAAAAAAAAAGAGCTGGGCAGTGGTGGCACACGCCTTTAATCCCAGCACTCGGGAGGCAGAGGCAGGTGGATCTCTGTGAGTTCCAGGCCAGCCTGGTCTACAGAGCGAGTTCCAGGACAGGCTCCAAAGCTACACAGAGAAACCCTGTCACGAAAAACCAAAAGAAAAAGAAAAAAGGAAATAAAAAAGGAAGGATATGATTGCTCCTAGGTCCAGTGGAGGGGGTTTATTCTAGATATGAGAGAAAACATAGGCAGTTACGGAGACATCTGGGAGAATCCAGAGTAAACACGACCCTGAGCTAGGACATGGGAGGAGAGGGGAGGGGAGAGGAGCCGCCGACCAAGAGGGGTGCCTGGGCCAAGAGACTGGCAGGGATAGTGGGATATCGGAATTGGCTGGGTTATATGGGAGCCAGAGGAGTGTGGAGAGATAACTGGAGAGTTGGGGGGTGGAGGCATGCCAGTCAGGAGGGCCCTGTAAGGGGTAAAGACTGAGGGATGCTGGGAGACCTTGGCATCCAGAGTCCACTTTGATATGTTAATGGGCACCTCAGCCTTTTGTCCTGGGTTTGAGACCTTACCACTTAACACACAAAAGTTTGAGTACTCCTTCCTTCAGATGCAAGTTGGGTAGTCTTACCTGTCCACCTAGTGATGGAGCTCATCTTCCTCACCTCAAACTCGTATTTTTCCTCCCCGGCATGCTGCTTCTCCAGCCCACGGGTACCGAGGACCACAATGGCTCTCCCTACATGAGTATGGTAGAAAATATATCTGCCGGCAGCTTCCGGCTGGTGTGGTCCTGCCACGGGTGCCAGAGAGACAGAATCTCAGTCTTGGAGGCAGTAGGACTAGCTGAGAGGTTTGGGTCAGAGAGGCGGGGACGCGACGTGTGGACAAGACCTACCCCCAAGAGTCACAGCGCTGTAATGGTGTGAACCGGTAGTTGTGTAGCAGGAGGGATTAAGGTATCCTCAGAAGTACATGATGGCTGAAGCTAGCTGCCCGAGTGAGGCTCCGTGCTGGCGTGTGCTTGGCTGAGGTTTGATGCTCAGCATTGGAAACAAACACGTAAACAAGTGAAGAAGATGATGGATGTAGTGGAGGGGGTGAATAAGGCTCTAGACAGCCAGTTGTGTGTGTGTGTGTGTGTGTGTGTGTGTATGTGCGCGCGCGCGCGTACGCACATGGAGGTCAGAAGACAATATGAGGAAATTGTTTCTCTCCCAACATGTGGGGCCTGGGGATGGAACTCAGGTCAGCAGGCTTGGGCAGCAAGTACCTTGACCTGCTGAGTCACTGTACTAGTCTACAACTGATGTTTATTATTATTATTATTGTATTTTAAAGAGTTGTTATTTTTATCTATGTGTATGTGTGTTTGCACGAATCTATATGTACCATGTCCATGCAGATACCCAGGAGGCCAGAGGGCATCAAATTTCCCAGCACTGGAGGGCTGGGAGGTTGTGACCTATCTAATCGGGGTGCTTGCCTCTTGGACCTCTGCAAGAACAAGTGTTTTTATCCGCTCAGCCATCGTTCTTGCCCCACAGCTGGTGCTCTTGGCCACTGAGGCCACGATGCAGCCTAGCTTAAGAAAAGTCTAATGTGTGCTTATTTTAGTCCAGTGGCTATTTTTCTCACAGTGTGGTTCAAGGGTTACCTGCAGAGAAATGATTAACCTCAGTAGGGCACAGGGGCCCACACCTAGAATCCCAGCATTAGGAAGGCAGAAGCAGGATCGTCGCCAGTTGAGGGTAAAATTGATCTACATAGCGAGTTGCAGGTGAGCTGGAGCTATACAGTGAGACCCTGTTTCAAGAAAACCAGTCAGCATGGGGCTGGAGAGACTGTTTTTGTGGAGGAGCCAAGTTTGGTTCCCAGCACCCACATCAAGTGTCTTACAACTTACACCTTACAATTCCACTCCAGGGCACCTGCATTCACCTACACAGAGAGAGACACACATCCATAAACATGATTTAAAAATCAATCAAAATAAGGGCTGGAGAGATGGCTCAATAGTTAAGAGCACTGGCTGCTCTTCCAGAGGTCCTGAGTTCAATTCCCGGCAACCACATGGTGGCTCACAACCTTCTGTAATGAGATCCGGCGTCTTCTTCTGGTCATACATACAGGCAGAACACTGTATGTGTTGTAAATAAACAAATTTTAAAAAAGATTGTATCTCGGGGGCTGGAGAGATGGCTCAGAGGTTAAGAGCACTGGCTGTTCTTCCAGAGGTCCTGAGTTCAATTCCCAGCAACCATATGGTGGCTCACAACCATCTGTAATGAGATCTGGTGCCCTCTTCTGGGCTGCAGGGATACATGCAAACAGAACACTGTATACATAATAAATAAAATCTTTAAAAAAAAAAAAATTGTATCTTAAAAAATAAATAAATAGGACCGCGCTGGTAGCCGCCGCCGCCGCTGCCGCTGCCACCATCATGCCAGCCCCACAGGTCTTGGTGAGGTGGGTGACTCTCCAGGATGGGAGAAGCCAATTTGGGAGCAGATTGGATCCAGCTTTATTCAGCATTACTACCAGTTATTAGATAACGACAGAACTCAACTAGCCGCAATTTACATTGATGCATCCTGCCTTACGTGGGACGGACAGCAGTGCCAGTGGAAAGCTGCCATTGTGGAGAAGTTGTCCAGCCTTCCGTTCCAGAAAATCCAGCATAGTATCACGGCACAGGACCGCCAGCCTACACCAGAGAGCTGTATCATCAGCACGGTTGTAGGCCAGCTCAAGGCCGATGAAGATCTCATTATGGCTTTCCGCCAGATGTTTCTATTCAAGAACATCAACGATGCTTGGGTTTGCACCAATGACATGTCCAGGCTTGCCCTGCACAACTTCGGCTGACCTCCTCTTGGCCAGACACTCATGCTGTTTCCTCCTCCCTCCTCTTCCAATACTAACTATCTCACTCCTCCAGATGCTCCGAACATCATACACAAATGAGCAGGGCCGAGGTAGAAGTGGTGCAGTGCGCTTCTGTCACCACTGTGTTGTGCATGATGTTTGGATGCTAGACTAGTTGCATCTGACAGGAGAAGTTTGTGTTGGACCAGCGCATGCCTTGGAAAGACTTAAGTAATGCAAAAGATTGTGGGTTTTTGGTTTTGTTTTATTTTGTTTTTTTAATCTACTGACAAGTTGCTCTAGTAACCCAAAGAAGTGAAGGAGAAAGCCGCTGCCTCGCCGCCCAGATATTGATTTGTTCAGATGTTTCAATGCCTCACGATACAATGAAACCACAAACGTTTTCTTAGCAGTTTAAATAAAAATAAATAAATAAAATAAAAATAAATATATATGTATAAAAAGGAAAACCAACCCACTAAACATCCCCTTCCCCCAAAGAAAGGAAGAAGAAGTCAGAAAGCTCTCTAGGGCTGGGAGATGATGGTTCAGTAGGCACACTGCTCGGGCAAGCATGAGGACCTGAGATTGCGTCTCAGCGCCCACATAAAAAAGCAGGCATGGCTACATGCACCTGTAATCCTAGAGTTGGGATTGGAGAAAGGAGGATCCCAGGGGACCTCCTGGCCAGCCAGTCCAGCCCATCAGTCAGCGAGACTGCATCTCAACCACTAAAGGTGGCGAGTCATAGAAGGAGGTACCCTCCAACAACCTCCAGACTCCATGGGTGCACACCCATGCCTCCTGCATACACACAAAGGAGACACACACACACACACACACACGCACGCACGCACGCACGCACGCACGCACACGCTATCTAGAGAGTCACACGTAAACTGCATCTCCGAGAAAGGACGATGCACAGAGGAAAGTGGAGTGGCCTTGGATTGAGAAAACTCTCAGTAGGAGGGAGTTGGGGTTCAGGGGCCCCCACGGCAGGTCTCATAGTCTCATATAGACCTGGCAGCAAAGCTAGTTAAAACTGACCTCCAAACTCTCTTGGCTGATGCAGGAATTTCAATGTCATCTCTAGAAAGAAAGGGAAAAAAAAGTGATCTGCTCTTATTATTTACCTTGCTACTCCCTCTCTCCACAGAGATTCTGGATGTTTTGCTCACCCTGGAAGCATTGATTCCGGCTCCAGATACCCTCTTCCACACCTCCTGAGCATCCTCAGTTGAGGGATGTGACTGCTCCCTTTGACGTGAGGAGCAGACTGCTCTCTCTTCTTTGTTACCGCTGACATCCATCAAGGCTGTTAGCTGCCACTGTTGTGACAATTTACAGCTGTGCGTGGCCCTTTCTCCTTGTCAAATTAGGTACATATGTTGATTGCATTTTGTTCCAGTTAGGGCTGAAAAAAAAAATGAGAAAGGAGTTGGGGCAGAGACTGAATGGGATAAAGTGATTATGGCTCTCCCTGTCTGGTGCCCTTATCACTCAAAGCACTCTTGGGTTCACCTCTCCCAGCAACTGGAGGCCCTGGGTACCAACCAACCCTACATCTCCAATCTCCAGAGTGAGGAGCTTGAGTCCACCACCACTCAATTTGCTTTACAAAGGAAAATTATTCAGAGAAGCTTCTGGAAACCTCCTCCATTATTCTGGGTGGGGGTGAAAGAGGCTGAAGAGGGAGAGGGATTAAGATGTTTAAAAAGTGAACTAGAGAATAAGGGTGGGATATGATATTAAACACACACACACACACACACACACACACACACACACACACACACATACACATGCAAAAACCCCCAATGAACATATCCACCCATACCCAGAAGCACCTATACAAAAGACTTGCTATCAACTAGAAAATGGAATCGAGTTGCAGAGAATGATTTACAATATTCCTCATTTCATCAGTAGAGTGAAAGATATGATCGTGGCATTTCATCAAGGAAGGGAGCAACATTCATTCATTCACCACAATGATCACAATGTGAAAGGCCTTGTGTTTGTTAACAATGCCTTAGGCGGGGCTGGAGAGATGGCTCAGAGGTTAAGAGCACTGGCTGTTCTTCCAGAGGTCCTGAGTTCAATTCCCAGCAACCATATGGTGGCTCACAACCATCTGTAATGAGATTGGTGCCCTCTTCTGGCCTATAGTCATATGTGCAGGCAGAGTACTGTATACATAATAAATAAATCTTTAAAAAAAAAACAACAAAAAAAACAATGCTTTAGACAGCAAGTCCTGGAGTAACTAGATTCCACTCTGGGGGTCCAAACAAATCGGGTCCAGACCCAAAACAAAACAAAATAATGGTGAAAATTAGGGGGGGAAAAGCTGAGAGGTAACTTAGTATGTTGAGTGAAAGGCTTGCCTGGCATTCGCAAGGCCGGGGGTTTGATCTTCAGCGGCACATAAAACTAGGAGTGATGGAATACTTAGACAACACAGGCAGAGTATCAGGAGTTCAAGACCATCCTTGGCTACATAGTGAACTCAAGGCCAGCTTGAGATACCTGAGATCCTGCCTCGATAATAACCGAGGAGAGAGGAGTCATCGTTGTGTGGGGTTTAGATTTGTCTTGTCACAAGACACTTAGCCATCAGCCCTGTTCCTGGGATCCAAGGTGACTGCAGGGGTGAGTGAATGACTCAGAGCAAAGGAGACATACAAAACAAAGGTATATGTACTCGTGCTTTTAATCTTGGTTTTTTTTTTTAGCTACTCAGATATTTACAGGGCCCAATGAGCAGTCTGCTTTTAGCAAAAGTAGTCTCCATGTCTCAGGTATACTCATTCTGCATGGCTATTTTTCACCAGGTTCACAGCCAACTACCTTTTTTTCCATTATTTTTTTTCTTTTTCTTAAAAATTTTTTTTAAAATAATTTATTTAACTTTATTTTATGTGTGTTGGTACGAAGGTGTCAGATCCCCTGGAACTGGAGTTAGAGACAGTTGTGAGCTGCCATGTGGGTGCTGGGAATTGAACCTGCGTCCTCTGGAAGAACAGTCAGTACTCTTAACCACTGAGCCATCTCTCTAGCCCCTTTTCCTTTAAAATTTTTTTAGATATATTTATTTTACATTATGTGTATGAATGTTTTGCCTGTATGCATGGATGTGTATGTACCTGTTGGATCCCCTGAAACTGGGATTAAGGAGGGCTGTCAGCTACCATGAAGATGCTAGAAATCAAACCTGAGTCCTCTGAAAGAGGTCTTAACTGCTGAGCCATCTCCCCAGTCCCCCCAAAATAGTATTTTTTAAAAAAATAATGTCTCAAAAAAACAAAAAAATAATAATAATGAGTCCTCCCTTTATAGTCTTGGTTGGTATGGCACTTTTTCCTATGTAGACAAACTGGCCTTGAACTTGGGATAATACTACTTGCCTTTACTTCCCAGGTGCTGGGGTTAGTGGGCACGATACAGTTGGCTTCCCCATTCAATCCTGAGCAGAACACTGCAAGAGCCTCCTAGTGGTCTCTTAGCGTCTGCTGTTGCCCCCTTGTCTGTCCCTCCTACTCTTCAATGCTGTCCTCCATAGAATAACATATTATAGCTAGGCACTCGGGAGGCAGATGCAGGTGGATCTCTGTGAGTTTGAGGCCAGCCAAGGCTACATAGTAAGATCCTGCTTTCTCCTCCTCCTCCTCCTCCTCCTCCTCCTCCTCTTCCTCCTTCTTCCCCTTCCCCTCCTCCTCCTTCTCCTCCTTCCTCTTCCTCTTCTTCTTCTTCTTCCTCTTCTTCTTTTCTTCTTCCTCTCTTCCTTTGAGAACCTGTTTCAAAAAGGAAAAAAAAAAGGAGACATTATAGCAAAATATATTTAAAATGTGGACTAGGGGCTGAGAATGTCGTTCATTTGGTAATCTGCCTAGTTTGCATGAAGCCCTGGTTTCCATCCCCAGTACTGAGGAAGCAGAGGCAGGAGGATCAGAAATTCAAGGTCATCCTTGGCTAACATATCAAGTTTGGGGCTAGCTTGAGCTACATGAGATCCTGTCTAAAAAAAAATAAATAAAATGAAACACAAGTCATATATAATGATGGTACAATTCAGAGGCTGAGGGTGGAGGATCACAGTAAGTTTGAGGCCAGCCTGGGCTACACAGTGAATTTCAGTTTAGCTTGGGCTATCAAATCCTGAAAGAGGAAGGGGGAAAAAGTCTGGGCATCATAGTATATACCTGTAATCCCAGCATTCATGAGATAGAGGCAGAAGGATTGGAAAAGTTGGATGCCAACCTGGTCTCCACAGTGAGTTTGAGGCAAGCTTGATCTTCTCTGGGGGCAGAGAGTAAAATAAGGTCTTACGAGTACCTTGCTTAACATTCCCCAAGACCTCATTGTATTTGATTTCAATTTTGTTTATTTGTGATGGTTTCCTGCATCCCAGCCTGGTCCCAAGCTCCCTAGGAACCAAAGATGACTTTGAACTGATCTTTGTCCCTCCAGCCTCCCAAGTGCTGGGGTTACAGGTGAGCAATACTTTCCCAACAAAGAAACAACAATGGTTGTCAAAAGACACTTGATTTGGGTTAGGTTTGTTGCCAGTGATAAGCAACTGAAATATGTATGTCCACAGAAGCTCTGGGCGTTTATTGCTTGATGATTGCTGCTGGGGACATTAACACCTTGGCTTTTCTGGTCTGCCCTGTGAATGAGTCAAGCATTCTCTGGTAAACAGGGAACCCTTTCAGACAGAGCATTCAAGGGGTTGTCAGCAAATACAGGAACTTGGGTGCTGGGCAGATACAACTGGGACCTGACACATTTGCTACAACCTCAGAACCTCTTTTTCTGCAGCTTAGAAACATGTGGACTCAGAAGTCTGAGGCAGGAGGACTGCTGTGAGTTTGAGGTGTACCTGGGCTACCCACTGAGACTTTGTCTCAGAACAAAACAAACAAACAAAACCAAAAACCACTGTGTGGAGTGAAGACTGGGGAGAAAGAGACTTCTGTGAGGAGCCAAGAACTCTGGATGGATATAGCTCCAGGAGACGTCCCACACCTGGGGGCGGGGGAGGGGGGGGATAGGACGGGAGGGGGATATAGGACGGACGTGACAATGTAGAGCGCTAGGGCGGGTCTATCAGAACCTCTGACTTCGGGTCTGATCTTGTTCTTTCCCACCTCTCTAACTGTGTGAGAGCAAGCTGTCACAGCTGATGGCCTGTGGTTAGATCCAAGTCTAGCTCTCCCCACCCCCCATACTGCTTGAGTTTGCCCTTGCTCTCTGTCTCCTGGCCGCTGCGGCCCCTCTCATCCCTTCCCAGACTCCTCACAAGTCTCTCTCCCTCTCTCTGAGGATTTGTTGTAGTTCCAGTTCTGGGTAGGTATGTGTGTGTGCCTGTGTTCATGTACGCACAGGTGTTCCAGGAGGCA